TTCAAACCAGGCTTCTTCACTGGGCAAGAGGCTGGCTGCATCATTTTAGTTCCATGCCTCCTACATTCACCTTCCCCAGCTCAGGAGGAAAGAAGGTGGGATTTCCTGCATTGCCGAGGTCTTTCCCCTTCTCCCCTAAGGTATGCTCTAGCCACCCCAAGCCCAGTTTCCCAGGCGTTAGTGTAGAAAAGCGATAAACATGTGAAATCCAAACTGAAAATCTAACCTGTGCTATTTAGAAGAGGGAAATACCATAGCCAGAATGCGCCTTGGGCTGAACATGCCCTCATGGTGTGGGCAGCTAGCACTGTAGGGAAGCAAAAGGTGGAGAGATTAAACAGAACAGGAAGAGGGGCCTTTTGGAGAAGAGGGGCAGAGCATGGCAACGAGGAGAAACCTTGATGATAATTTGGCGGAGGGGGTAAATGAGGCAAGCCTATGTATTGCTATTAGGCTCCTCAATGCCAGGACTCACTTGCTACATGTGAACTGCCGCATCATGTCAGTGTGCCACTGGGAGAGCAACGCTTCAGAAGCAGCTCTCCCCAGAGAGACCACAAAGGGAGGTGCACCGACGCACAGCATAGCAGTGAAGCAGTTAAGCTCTCCCGCACAGGTGCTGGCTTTGCCCCCTAGTCAGAACCAGACCGAGAGCTACTTTCCGCAATCATTCTGCCAGGATGAACCACTTGGCCTTTGGCATCGCTCATCAAGATGATTATTTCCCTGTCAGAAGAGGCCCACCCCCTATTGTTCTTTCAATCCAAGGGCCGAGTACTTCTTTGGATCCTTTTGAAGCCACACAATGGACAGCCTAAAAAAAGAACCACACACACAAAGCCAAAGCAGCAGGAGGTGCAGCAAGTCCAAGGTCTGTGTCACACAGTGCTATTGAGCAAACCCCAGTTATGGCATTCAAGTCTACAATATACACATTTCTATAGAACATATTAATGCCAGTCAGACACCTTCGGTATAAAGTCTCAAGTTATAATGTTAACAAAGATACTGTAATGGTAACACCCACCCCTCCCCAAGTTTGCTAGTTCTAAACTAATCCAGACACTGGATAACATAACAACTGGTACACAGGTACTAGTTTGAAACCAATGATTTGTGTATTCGATATCCTATAACATATGGTACGTGTATCATATGGGAATGATGTGTGTCTATTCTATATCAGCACGAGGAAGATGCCTTTCCCAGCAGGTCCTGGAGAACTTGGTCATCCTCTCTGTCACATGGGATACTTACCTGGGATGCTAGCGAGGAGACAATGCTGCCATCTGCCATTCACAACCACCTCCCTTCTGGCTGAGCTCCACAGAGATCACATGAAGCACCCCGGCAACCAAAGGAGGCGGAGCATTGCCGCTGGCCAATCAGCCACTCCATTTTCCTTTGAGCCGCTTTCAAACAGAACACAGAAGCCGCTCCCTACACCACCTCCTTCCAGGCCAAATCCCAGCCTGTTTCAGTGCCTGCCCATTGCGGGGTAAGGAGCAGCAACGGGGAGATATTAGGGGATCTCCCAGGTGTCATTCCCTTTTCCCCCTCCCCACATGCCTTCTCCCCAGTCATCCTTCTCCAGGAGAGGTGAACGCCAAGGGCATATGAACAGGAATATGAGTCTGGAGGAAGTGTGCGCGTGTGGCATTACCACCACACTGCTAAATCTGGAGCCAGGTTAGACTTTGACTGCGACATATGGAAACAATACTGGGCTCAGTATAGGAAGAGTGACACAAAATGGTCTGGGAGAAGTCGGAGAGAGAATTGTATGGGAATGAAAGCAACGACCAAGGCAGGGAAGTACCGTGCAAGCCTGCCCCATCCAACTCTGCTGATGCACCTCATCCCTGATCTATAGCACCTCCTGCTATGCCAATCCTGGGTCCCCCACTTAGCTTTGACAACGCACATCAATGCCAGGCTGCACCGGCTATGCCAATCCTGGGCTATCCCACACCTCTGCCGATGTACCTTAGTCCTGGCCTTCCTTCTCTACTATTACCCAGTCCTAAGCAATCCTTGGGGAAGGGCTTCCCACTGGGCAGGGATTTTGGGATGCAGACATGTGGCAAGTTGAATGATGAGGGCCCTGCAAACTCTCACCTGTGAGTAGGGTCTGCAGAAGGGAAAGATGATATGCTAAATCCACCTCCACACTCAGAGCTCATGTGCTTCATATGATCTCCGTGCCACCAGAGTCAGTCTTGTTTGGAGAGAGAGATTCTCATTATAAAGCAAGAACATTCCCCTTCAACTCTGTACAAAGATTTGGCAATACATAGAATTAAAAATCACGGTGACAACAGATTCAGGTTCATTTCATTCAAACAGGATTCAACCAACAGGAGTGTAAAAATTAATTCACAGTTGTGCATTTAAGATATTAGTGTTGAAAACCTCACTTCAAAGAACTTTTGTGCAAAAAGTGTATTGACATAAGAAACCGTGGTGGCCTGCCCTCCTGTCTCCCAGAGCCAACCAGCTAATAGGCTGGGTTCTGCACTTCGGGTTGCACTTCGATGCAGGTGGAAGAGGGAAACAATACAGGCCACAGGAGCCAATGCTGAAAGATGCCGCATATCCTTTCTACAAATCAAAGCCTTGCAAAGGGTCAAGGACTGAAGTCAAGTCCAATGGGTCCCAAAGTTTTCAGCTGGTGCCCTGTTTCATGACAGTGACTGATTGACAGCTCTGCTTTGGGTGTGCATGGCACTGTACCGTAGCGTCTAGAACCTGAGCACCCCTGAATTTGGACAGCCAAGCGGAGACTCACACAGCGCTATGTCTGCTCTGGTAGGAAGCTTACGGCCCAGGAGGAGCTCTTGGAAGCCTGGGGATGTCCACTGCAGCAAGAACAGCAAGAACACTATTTCTGCAAACACGGGTTCAAAAACTAAGACTGGTTCCTGAGTTGGGCGTGTCTTCCCTCTGCTTGCAATGGCACCTGCCACACGGCCTGGTAGCCATTTCCCTCGGAAGCCCATCTCTACTGTGTCCCGCTTCCCATTTCAACAGCCCCATGTACTCTCTCAGCAGAGAGACTGGATTTTTTTCACAGAAGCCAGTCTATGGAAAGACAGCATGCCTTGTCCCTGAAGCCAGAGAGGAGCTTGTGGGCGCTCCCGTCCCCCTACAGAGGATGTCCGTTTTCCATAGAAATCACACTAGCTTTATGAAAGTTACTTCACCTTCTCTTACCAAATTTGGAAGAGTGAAGAGAAAAGTTATGCAAAAACAGCCTGGAAAGTTTGGACTAGCGACCCACGGGCAGAGACAGGAGTTACTCGCCTTTGGGATGACATGGCTTTTGTGGTTTGTGTTACAGGGGAACAAATATTTTCAAAAAAGCCACAGCACAGCATGAAAACCAGAAATCCAATCAAATTAGAAATCTCCCCGCAGAGAATTTCCTCCGTTTGAATCCTGCCCTAACTCAGCAGGTGTGACACGAAGCATCCTGCAGCCCAGGATTCCCGTGCTGTGCTGTGCTTTCAACAATGGTTCACAATCAGGAACATTCGGGCACAATGGCAGCTTAAATAAAAGGGACCAGAGCAAGGGAATAGATCCCTCTTCTACGTGGGTTAACGTCATAACATTTCATCCCTCTGCTCTGGCAGAAAAGGTGCAACGTTAGCAGCCCTCCTTGAGACAGCTAAAGGGGGACTGCGGGGGCTAGACAATCTGGTGCTGTAAATAACCTGTACGTTGCCAGCACCATTCGAGGCATGTGTGGCACATACGTCCACAGGTGGCTGCGGTTCTCTCGCAGCGCTGTACCAGAGCCAACGGGTGGGCCAGAAAACGCTGAAGGAGACAACAGGCACACAGTTTAAAAAGGAAAAAGCAGCAGCATTGTTTAAAATACAAGGTTAAAAAATGAGGGAGTTAAGTTTCGGAGCCGAATTTCCCAGTCTCACGGTTCCACATGTTAAATACCATGCATGGAACGACCATTCCCCCTTGGGGGACTTTACTAACTGCCCTCAAAAGGGCTAGAGTGCCTTCTGCCTTTCCCCATGCCATCTCTCCTTGAGGGGCCCAGGGGACCCGTCTGTGGCCCCTTCTCAGGGAAAACAGCAAAATCCTTCCTAAGGCCTAAAGCAAATGGGACAGACCCCCACGCAGCAGCCACATACTCTGGCCTCCCGCAAGGAGTTGCTGCAGTGAAATATTGCACCTTTTCAGAACGCGTTTGCACAGACGTACTATGGAGTCAAACTTCTCTCTCAACCACAGAGAAGGTGCTTCCCACCTGGGCTACGGGAAGGGGGAGGCAGCACTGACACCGAGGAGTCTGCAACTGGGCGTTGCTTTTAAACTCAGGCAGGTAAAGCTTATCTGAGCTGAAAGAAAGAAAATGGTACATAACAATCAGGCCACGGGATGTTCTTTGAGCAGCACAGACTGAAAGTCCACAGAGAAACCACCGTGCAGCATTTGTTCACTGACCGACTCTGCATTTTGGGGGGTTTACAATATACAACATAGTGACCTCCCAATGAACGCATTTCCCCTGCACTCTGAGGCCAGGCTCCGGGGTGCCTGGGAGGGGCAGGTGGAGTGGCACTGATGGCGCTCATGGAGGATGCTACAGTGGACAGCTAGAAGAACAGTAGAGAAAAGGGAAGGATATCAGTAGCTCCTCAAAAATAGGGGAATTGCCTGGAGACTGACCTCTCCAATCCCTGAAGTGCAATATGCTCCCTCAAACCCCCTCCACAAGATACAGCTCAAGCTTGTGGTGGACGTTCTTGGGCAGTCTTTGGGGAGATCAGGAAGGCCCTCACTTCACCACGAAATCCATCTTCCAATGGCAAAGGCTTAGGAGCCACCTGGAGGATTTGCTTTGGACATTGTTGTAGCAGCATCTTTTGTCTTAACACGAACAGCAATACTGGGGGATGGTTTGTCCTGAACTCTATCCCAGTTGTTTAACATGCCCTGCAAATAGGCTTTGGTTAAAGCAAAGGGCACACAGACTACTTCAGTATGTTAGAAGCTGAGATTCGACATTTTGGGGTTCACGCTTTCAGTACAGCAGGGGAGGCAGGGAACTTGACCATGTGATTCCCAGTAACATTAATGCAAATTCCAGGGGGACAAAAATTGCCCAGTACACTACTAGGGAAATTTATCCCGGTCTGTAATTTGATGAGACTGCAGTTATGTCGATTAAAAACCCATCTTCATATTCAAAACACACAACATCTGTGGAGGTTACAAAACTGTAAATGTAACAATCTTTTTGTTTGTTTTACAAGGAACCGTCTGAAATTTCAGGTATTATGAAAGCATGCAACCAAAATAACCACCCCTTCCCTGAAGCTCATCTGAGGAGAAAATAATGCCCATTCCCCCAAACTTCCATACTGCTAAGCCACAAGGTCCTTGAAGTCTCATCCATTCTTTGTTCTCAGGACACAAATACATATGGGTACTAGTTGCTGTTTTAACAACAGGGCAACAGACAGGACCAAAAGGAGTGGTGGAAACAGGTCTATGACACTGGAGCTGATTCACAAAGTCACAGCAGAGCCTATTTGGGGAGGGGAGGGACAGCAACCATTTAAAACTCTGCAAAATTCTTTTTAAAAACATGATCTCTCTTGAAAAAATAATCAGAGCAGTTTTAAAAACTTCTCCGCGCATCTAGGAAGGAGGGAAAACCAATGAGGATCAAAGATACGGCTGAAAAAATAAACACGATTCTACTTTGCGAGGAAGAATCCCATCGTTCTCCAAGGGGCACTCAGCATGCCCAAGGTTTGTTTGGTTTTTGTCTTGCTGTGTTCTCGTTTCTTCCTCTTCTGCTCCCAGGAAGGGCGCTAAGTCTTTGGTCTCAGAACACTGGATGCAGCACAGCATTGCAAGCACATACTAAGAGCGTCTGCAGTCAAGAAGGAGCAATGACTGGTCCTGCTGAAGTGATGGGTGGGAAAGGATGCAGATTGTTAGCTCCTAGATGGAGCCTTCGCTGTGCATACTGTGATTGGACTTGTTGTGTGTCACGCAGTTCTGTTCATTCAGCAGGTTTGCTGTCTCATCCGGCAAACCATCGCGCAGCTCCGTAAGAGTCAGTTCGATTTTAGTGTTTTCACTGTCCGAGGACTGAGGTGTCTTGTCCATCCGGGATGCCATCAGGGCATTTTGGTACTGCTGTCTCGAGATCTATTTCATGCACACAAGGGGGGTGGGGTGGGAAACACACACACAAAAAAGACACAATAACACTTTGGTTTCTAATGCTGGTGTCCTATAGGACACACTATGACCATAAACTCTCTCCTCTTGCCAAATTCTCCTTTCAGCCCTGTTTTTCATGGGATCATTCCACTTTCTACAAGACAAGGCTGAGTTCTGCAAGCCTAGCAGGATTAGAGAATCCTAACTTAACATCATGATGTGGTGACAATTCAACGTGACACAACATTGTGATGATAATGTTGCCACGTGGTTCTGTGCTGTCTCAGTGTTGTGATGCATGGATTTGTCTCACTGGGTATACTCTCAAGAGGCCCAAGAGATTTTTAGTTACTCCTAGCTAAAAGCCACTGATGTTGTGATGCAAATTTTGAGGGCCTCATCCAAAGCCCATTGACGTCAATGGGAGTCTTTCCAGTGACTCCAATGCGCTTGGGATCAGGTTCTTAGAGTCCTCTGTAGGAAGTGAGTCAAACAAGCGTTACAATTCTGATACAGTTCAGCAATTCATGGTCTCACATGCAGCGTGGGCCAAATCCTGAAGTCCTTGCTCTGATGCCAATGGGCATTTGCCGGAGTAAAATCTGACCTTTGAGCCAACATCAAATTAGCCATTTGAAAAATATCTTAAATTAGCCAGCTTTTTGGTAAGCTAACTGGAACTTAGGGTTTGCTATACTGGAGTCAGCATATAGGTCAAATATTTCAATACCCTTGCCCTGGTACCTGATGCTCCGGAGGAAAGCAAACCCACTAACCTCACACTATACCCGATAATAGTGCCATGCTATACATGGGGAAATGGGAAACTCCTTCCTGAAAACAGCGAGCAATCCCCTGGCACTGCATTGGATTCACCTTCCCAGTTATATCAGCTGTCGCTGTCTGAAATGATGTACGTGTACGGATGACCCCAAGTTCTGAGCAGCAACAACTGACCGACATGGGGGTTGGGGAAATGAAGGAGGTGGGAACGGAGTTCTGCTTCTCGCTCACTGGGCCCGTATCTCACAAAGCAATTTCAAGGCATGTGGATGCAACATAACCTTGGGTTGCCTCTCAATACAAAGGAATAATTGGCCATTGCAGTCTATAACAAGGGCCTGTAACACTGACACTGAACTCTAAATTCACTCTGGCCAGTATTAAACCCTTATTAATGTAAGTCTGTAAGACTCGGTGCATCAGCTGGTTGGAGCATGTGTCTCTGTGTTACGACAACATCACTTTTAAATCTTATTCCCAGTATATCTGGGACCATAATCAACATCTCCAGCATTAAAAATATTTTTTTATTCTCTCCCTTATTTAAAGAGTTTTGAATATCTGATTAACTGTGGCAAAGGGCAAAACAAGTTAAAGTGCACTGTTTGAGCTATGTGCTTAGAAAGAAAGTCTCAATGTAAGTAACCAATTGAAAATGGTTTTGTTTAAACTAAGCACCATGATCATTCTGGGATAGTGGGATACCAGCTTCCCTAATCTAAAGGGGGACTTCAGCTAGGTTTGAATTGCCGGTTCCATCACATTGGTCTGCTCATCCCACAAGATCTATACACGTTTCAGCACCTTGCCTGCTTATCATGATGGGACACAGAGAGCTGAAGAACAGAGCAATATGCACGTGCCCAGTGGTGGTTAGCACGAGAGGTGGGCCTGACATGGGAAGTCCGGATGCAGAGATGAAGTCAAGACTTCTCCGAAGTTGAGGAAGGGGGACAAGCTGGGAGGCAGGTTGGATCCCAAGTTACATTCTGGGCCAGTTTTTAGTTAGAAATGAAATGAATCAATGGCACCACCAAATTCTTCATTCTTCAACTAACGAGAGCTGATTCAGATTGTTCAAAAGGCTTTACAAAACGTCACAGCAATAGATGGGCTTTCAAGACTAACTCCAGTGGAAAAGATTTTTTTTTTTAAAAGCTTCCTCTGAAGTGCTGGTAACCAGAAAATGAAGTGACCAGTCGGATTTCACTGTCCAAACCGAGCAGTGGAGGAAAGTCAACCAGCAGCAGAAACCGGGGAAAGCGGGCAGTTTCAAATGACTGCTGCTTTCATAATCCTAGTTCCTCTTTGTAACTCAAGGACATAACAGATCTGCCATCTCCCTCCCCCGCCTCTCAGCTCTGCAAGGTAGCGCAGCATTTCTGAGAGGGAACCCGGCTGTCTCTTTTCCTACCTTGACAAACTGAATATCTGAGAGTGCTTTCACTGAGTAGTCTGGGACGTACACCTGAAGGAAAGATGCATTCAACTGGTTGTTGCTGCTCCCCAACGTTGGTGTCACCGCTTCAATGCGATCACCTCTATTTAGAGAGTCCGAATGGTTCAAGCCACAAGGACGAGGGGGTGACTTGTTTTCAGCTGAAGAATAGGAAAGAAGAGAGAAAAACTTTTTAAATAAAGCAGGAAATGGTTAGTAACTGGTTCTCAAAGACATTTGTTAACCCATGATATAGCATGGACGACTGCACAGGTACTTAAGTCATTGAGTACAGCAAAATTACCATGAGAGTTAGGACATTTTAAATCCCGAGCTAATTCGTGACATCACTATAGCTAGGATAAGCTGTTAATGATTAAGATCACACACAGCGTACAGTGCCTTTCCTCCAGGGACCTTGGAGCCATTTACCAAGATTTACTTCATTACACCATTTAGTACATTTCACCTACATCACAGGGGTGGCCTCTACTATATCACATCTGGTTGCTCCACAAGGTAGGGTGCATCCACCTTTAGAGGCTGAGGGAATGCTAAGTGACGTGGTTCTGAATGGGCCAAAGTGCGCTCTCTTTATTTCATCTGTTTCTGAAATATTTTCCCTGACACCTGCCATGGCTCAGGGTTTGAAGGGATAACTTGGGCTGATGCAGTACAGAACCTCTGCCAGCCAGGTGACACAGTGGAACCAGCGAATTACTCTACTCTACGGAGAAACACCCCGATTCTGGAAAGGCCTTGGCATGCTTGCTCCCTGGGTATGGCAAAATCATGACTGATCAGCTTCTTCTCTCACTACAAAAAAGTGCTCAGCTTCACTGGCCTACCGAAGCATTGTAACCATCCCAGAAGGGTGCCCTGGCCATAATTTACCTACTGGACAGTTGTTTTCAGTAGATCTGATGATCCCTTCTGGCTTTAAACTATGAAAATACTAAAATGCTGCTTTCCTTGTAAGATGATGTTCGCTTCCGTAAGTTTCCACCAACTCAATGCCCTACATGGACTGGGGCCCTACAGGGTACGTCTACACAGCAACAACAACCAAAACCAACCCGCAGCAGTGAGTCTCAGAGGCCAGGTTAACTGACTTGGGCTCGCACGGCAAGGCTAAAAACAGCAGTGTAGATGTTCGGGCCGGAGCCCACACACTGAAACCTGACGAGGGGGTTGTGTCTCGGAGCCCAGACCCAAACAACTACATTGCAATTTTTAGCCTTGCAGAATAAGCCCGAGTCAGCTGAGCCAGGCTCTGAAACTTGCTGCAGAGGGGTTTTTTGCTGTGAAGATGTGCCCACAGAAACGCCTTTCAAAATGCAACTTCCCAAGACTTTTAGCAGGTCTTCTTCCCTATCTGGATGCAAATCACAGAATCATAGAATATCAGGGTTGGAAGGGACTGTGTGCTGATCAAGATACAGATTAGCTGCAGGATCAGTGGGTTTTTGGTCCCTACCAGACCCAAAGTTCATCAATTCCAAATCAAAGCTAAACCTGGCTTGTTCTGAAGAGCTCATTGGGTAGCCAGTGCACCGAGAGAGGTCTCACTTTAAGCCGTCGTGGTGAAAGCCTTTTTGCATTGACTTAGCAACCAGCAGCATCTTGACAGCTAGAGCCTTTCTACAAAGGAGCCTTGATCTTAAAAGGTTTCACAGTGCTCTGGGCATTGTCTCCTTCACTTAATCATAAAATTCTTAATGCCCTCCTTAGCGGGTGGACACAGATCTGCCTTGTCATGGGCAGCACAGCCCACTCTCTGCACTGGCCACATGGATATGCAAACCATGCCATCCTTGCAGGAGAATGAAATGTGCTTCTTCACTTCTTGCATTCTTTTACCTCTTGCTAAAGTCCTAGCATCTCAGACTCCTCCTGGCTTACGACGGAATTGAAGTGACCCTCCATTTGCCGATTGCTTTTAAAATCCAGTGGCTACTTTACAGCTTTCATTTCAAAACAGCAAGGAGGAAAATTAAGGTTTTGAGAAACAGGCAATTCTGTGCTGCAATTTCCATCAGTGGGGCAATCATTTTGGCCTCTAGAAGCATTGCCAAGCTTAGACTCAGAGGCAAGCAGTCAGATTTCTGTCAGCCCTCCACGTGGATACCCCCTTGTTGTCTTGGGAAACGACTATAAGGCTACAATGGCTATTATCAGAAGCAACCCAACGTTACTAAGCATCTTTCTTCACAGAAAGTAGTCTGACCATATACCATCATTCTGTCAACAGATCAAATCAGTCAGCCTTTGCTTTCCTATACTGACGCACAAAATGCATATTTTGTGGCAAGAATAGCACCTCACTAGTTTTTTGAAAAAAGTTTTTTGTCTGAAGTAGCTTCAGCATCAGTGTGAATCTGACATGGACTCCTGAAATCCCCATTCATCAAGGGTAAGGATATTATTAGAAAAATACGGTGACTGAAGGGGGGGAAGGGAATGGAAAGAGTGCATGTGCCAAAAACATGGAGTGGATGGAGGCAGAGGCCAGAACAAGAACAGCCAGCATGCAGGAGAGCACAAAAAGCAAGGGACAGAGAAAGTATGGGGGAAAGTGAGGAAGAGAGGGCATGCAGGTGTGTATGTGCAGAGTTTTTTGGGGGTAGGGGAAGTGTGCATGAAGAAGTGAGGAAATAGAAAGCGCATGAGACAGAAAGAAACCAGACAGGTCCATGTTCTCTGAAGAACAGTGCATTCCCTGCCCCCCCATCCCCCTCCAAGCAGGTCGGCTCATATCTAGAAAGCTTGGGTCTTCCCACATTCCTACAGAAAGGATCTAATGGCACAAAGCAGAAGCCAAACAGCGAGTTACACATTTGGGATTAACACAATGGAACCTTTTTCAGAATGTCCTAATACCACAGCCGAGAATCCCGGTACAGTCACCTTTGTACCACGTGTTCAGCAACACAACTGACGTTGAGCTGCGTTGTCAGTTCCCATAGCAACCAGGGTTACCATATGATTTCATTTCAAGTGGTTTATTCTCCCCCCCCCCCCCATTATTATTTTATTTCTTTCAGTTGGAAAAATCTAGGAAAAAATGTCTGGCATTTATATTGGAAATAGTTTGCAAGTGTGAGGGGTACATTTCATTTGTAAAATGGAAAAATAAAAAATAAATTTTTTCTGGGCACAGAAAAATAATTGAGCAAAAAAGATAATCAAAGCTGCAGAGTTTCAAGAAAAAAAATAAAGCCATCAAACAGTTTAATTAAAGAAAGATTAAACCTTTTTCCCTCGATTTTAGCCGCTGGAAACTTTAACTGGGCATGAAAAGAATCCCCTGCAGGGCAATAACCTGTAGTTTGTTTGGAATGTGCGTAATACTAATTTCAGGACAGAGGGTAAAATCTAGCAGAAAGTTAAAAAGAGAGGAAAAACCCAAGGAGTAGATGCCGCATAAACACCAAAAGCTCAGGAAATGGCCAACGAGAGCTCCTTTTGGTTTGTACATTAAAGTTTGGGGGAAAGGGGACGGTTTTGTTTTTTTAAGAACACACATATTGTCCTGTTCATGTTCCGGTCAGAGGAAGAGAGAGACAGTGGCATTAACACGAACAAGGTAACTTCATGGAAAACAAAATTTCAGCACGGCTCAGCCTCTGTTGAGGAACAGTCATTCCAGTACATTCTGCCATTTCCCTCGGGTAACGTTTTCATTTACCTCCTAACTAGAAAAGGCACCCATGCTGCTCACTATAGGTATGGTTGGCTTCCAACTTCCATTCTGGATTCCTCTCCTCCCAGTTTCCAATCGTTCACAAACGCCCCAACCAAGTTCTTTTTGGCCTGACACATTCCATACTTGGTCTCAACCCTCAAGTGAAATGTTTTGGGGAAGTTTAAGCAAAATTAGTTCAAGTGCAGTCATCTGAGTAATGCATGGTCTTAAAACAAACAAAAAACCCAATCCCCACATTTTTCTCATATCTCTCATTCACACATTACATGTATGAATAACTCAAATACCACCTTGCAGAACTATCAAATTTGGCTTTATTTATAAGTCTCCATGGAAATCTGTGAAATAAATCAATTTTGAAGACAACAGAGTTTTTGAGCATGTGAAACAGGATATTCTGTGTATGAACAATATAATTTAAATTTTGTTTGGAGATAAGGTACCTCTTTCTCAGTTAAATTTTATATTTTTGGCAGTTCAGCAGTATGCTTTCCTCCATTTTAATTCCATCTTCTGCAGAATTGAGACATTTTGTACATTTTTATATGAACCCAGGCTAGGGACCAGAATATTATCTTTAACAAAAAAAATCATCCTGATACTGCATCAGTATAGGAGTAAGAGAAGCAAGGACCTTTTCATTACCAAATACATTCTCTTTTAAAAGTTATTACTTTTTTCATTTTGATGTGTCTGCAAGTTTCTACTAGTCATAAATGAAAATTTAGGATACTTACCTGTTAGGCATATCTCTTGGCTGAACTTCTCTCTAACAAGTAAAGGGGTCAGACAAATACAGACTGCAACTGGCTTTTTATTGGGTCAGCGCAGACACAAGAATGATGAAAAAGAAGCATGCAGATTTACCTGGAGAACCTGCTGCTAATAATTCTGTTCTGCTGACAACAAAGGTACGAGACAGGGACAAGGGAACTAGAAGAGGGAGAGAAAAAGGGTGAGATCATGCCTGGGAACGGGACAGCTCTCCACACTTGCCAGGGGAAAGAGTTAATTCACACTCTTCAAAGAAACCAGAAGCACAAATCAATTGCAGAAAAGTAAAGGGGGAAAAAAGGCCGATTAGGCAATTTGTAGAAATAATTAAAAATAAATCAGCAAAACTACATACATTCCACTTGGTAATCCTAAATGCCATTCAATACAGAGCTCTCAATTTACATTTCAAGACCCATTCATTTAAAAACAGTACACAATGCAAAATCAGCAACCACTTTATCCCAAGAGATGAAGAATAAAAATGAAAACCCAGCAAGTCATCTTGGGGGAAGACCCAACTGGGGTAACTAAATACAGAAACAAAAACAGGATTGATTTCACCATTTTTCAAATTCTTTTTATCAGACCATCAAAAAGAGCCTGCAATTTCCCAAGTTTAGCCATTTTAGGGTGAAGAACATAAGAACGGCCATACTGGGTCAGACCAATAGTCCACCTAGCCCAGTATCCTGTCTTCCGACAGTGGCCAATGCCAGATCCTTCAGAGGGAATGAACAGAACAGGTAATCATCAAATAATCCATCCTCTGTCACCCAATCCCAGCTTCTGGCAAACAGAGGCTAGGAACACTTCAGAGCATGGTTTTGCATCCCTGCCCATCCTGGCTAACAGCCATTGATGGACCTATCCTCTATGAACGCATCTAGTTCTTTTTTGAACCCCTTTATAGTCTTGGACTTCACAACATCCTCTAGCAAAGAGTTCCACAGGTTGACTGTGCATTGTGTGAAGAAATACTTCCTTTCATTTGTTTTAAACCTGCTGCCTATTAATTTCATTTGGTGACCCCTAGCTCGTGTTATAAGGAGTAAATAACACCTCTTTATTTACTTTTTCCACGCCAGTCATGATTTTATAGTGACTTTAATAGTGATAATTTGCACTTATGTAGCACTTCTCATCTACAGTTCAAACTGGACTTTACAGACATTTAAGCCTCAGCACTCTTGTATTGTCTTAACTTTCCAGAGGGGGAAACAGAGGCATGAGGGCTGTTAGGGATTGGGAGTCTTAAAGAGACAAGCAAGAGCACCTACTCTTGCGCTGCAGTGCCTCTCTCTGGCTATTACCCAGAGTGCTGAGGGGAACAGCTTCCAGACCTACATGGAGCAATCACAGTCATTTTATTTATAAGAGTTCATCCCGCCAAAGCAGGACTCTGGGTGCCGTAAGACATAAAATCTCATAATAAAATGTACTCTCTTAATATACAGAAAAATGCACCCACAAACTAACGGCTTTGCTACTGGAAAAGGGACTGTAGGAAAAGTAATAAATACAGAGCCACTAGCAGTCAATTTAAAACAAACCCCAGATGTATGCACTTGGAGTTTGGTGAGAGGAAGACCAACATGCATTTCAGAGTAGGAGGGCCCACCCTGGGAAAGGTGCAATGACACAATCTATGGTGGAGTGGTGGGATCCCTAAAAAGACAGGTGACGTTTGAGTGCAAAAGCTGGACTGAAGGAAGGAAGAACCCAGAGCATGCCAGCAAAAAAAGAACACTAGGAAGTTCACACTAAATAATAGTGACAAAAGGAGTAGCCGTGAAAGATTTTCCAGCGTAGTGTTGGTCAGAGCCGGTACAACCATTAGGCGAACTAGGCGGCTGCGTAGGACGCCTAGTGGTTGAGGGTGCCTAAAAGCCCGCTCAGGTGAGGAGGTGGAGTGGAGGTGAGCTAGGGTGGGGGGGCGCGGGGGGGGCAGCCCGGCGGAACGGGGGGGGGTGGGCGCGCACAGGGGAACCACTCCCAGCCCCAGATCACCTCTACTCTGCCTCCTCCACTGAGCCCCTGCTCTAATTCTCCTCCAATCAGCACTACAAGCCTGGGAGGGGAGGAGAATTAGAGCGGCGCCGGCGTGCTCAGCGGAGGAGGCGGAGCGGAGGTGACCTGGGGTGGGCTCCCCGGGCAGGGTTAGCTGCCATGGAGGGGGGGCTCCCCGGAAGGGGTTAGCTGCGGGGGGGGGAAGGGGGAGGTTAGCTGCTGCAGGGGGGCCGGGCTGGGTTAGCTGCCGCGGCGGGGGGGAGGGGGCAGCGCGCGGGGTTAGCTGGGTGCGGGGGTGGCACAAGGTGGAAGTTTCGCCTAGGGCGCGAAAACTCCTTGCACCGACCCTGGTGTTGGTATATGTCAGATGAGAGTTGATGCTCTGGCATCCCCCAGACCCATCTGTATTGTAAGAGCTGAGCCTCAAAATTGAGGGAACAGGAAGGGTGTAAAACACACATACACACACTGGACTGTTTCTAGAGCACAGACAAAACTCTTCCAAGGATCTGTGCTTTAGCAAATCTGCTGTTCAAAAACCTACAGGGTGGCAGTAAGATTTATTTAACTTCAGCACGCGTAATCAAGGAACAATTGCTCCCTACTTTGAATGTGAAATTGCTAACATATATTCAGAAAAATGTCAGCTAAATGGCAACACAGATTACTGCTTACATCACAAATGTCCCAGAGAATTGCTTTTGTCTCTGGAATTTACTCTAACCATCCGCTCTTACAAGGAAATGATAATACCTTATTTATATATAAAAAGCAACAAAGAGTCCTGTGGCACCTTAAAGACTAACAGTTGTATTGGAGCATAAGCTTTAATGGGTGAATACCCACTTCGTCAGACACATGTGGGTATTCACCCACGAAAGCTTATGCTCCAATACATCTGTTAGTCTTTAAGGTGCCATAGGACTCTGTTGCTTTTTACAGATCCAGACTAACACGGCTACCCCTGATACTTATTTATATATAGTACTTTTCATCCTAAAGGCTCTCAAAGCCATTTAACAATATATACTGAGATCATTAACCCACTTTTGAATTGCAGCTACTTCTTGGGTGGAACATGGAAGGCATTCTGCTCCTGTAACACCAGAAACAAATTTCTGTGTGAGTGAAGAAAAACTTCTCCTTTTGAAGCCAATCAAGGAATTTTAGGTTGGCAGAATGTAACTGCTAGACTAACCCACCAATATTTGTGAAAAATGTTGTGGGATTTTTAATTACTTCAGCTGATCAGAATCTTGGTTTTTGGTCTCTAGCTGAAAGGCAGCATTTCCAGCAATAAAATACGTCCCCTGGCGGGGGCAGTGGCTCAATACTGTCTAAGATGGACAGGTACCACCCACTGAATCACTAACATCACTTTCTGCAGCACTTGAGATTTCTGGAGGTCTCCCATTAGACACTGAGCCAGCCCAGCCTGGTTTAACTTGGGAGATGTGACAGAATCACAGCCCAAGGTGGTACAGCTGTAAGAGAGCAGCACACTTATAGAGACAACTGAAGTGTTACCTTTACTTCTTGTAATCAGGGTTAGCCCACAGTGAATGTCTAATACATGCTTATGTGATGGAGGTGGCTTGACAGGGTACCTGGCTCACAAGATTATGGTTTTTATAATGAGGATTCACCTGGGTCCCAACTAGCTTTTCTCATTGCAGTTGCCTATATTTTTCTTACATATATTTTAAAGAAGATACATTTCTGTGCAAGTTGGTTGTATGGACGGATTTTCAGCTTCTTTGCATAATGGGAAAATCTCTCTTCCTCATTCCAGTAGAACTGATAATTCTCAGGCTTGTTTCAGAAACTTCAGACTTGTCTACAGGACGAGTTATTGCTTCGCAAAGGAGGATGCCAATCTACAGTGCACCAGCTTGCCGTGCAGTGTCGCCCCATGTGGACACTGCTATACTTGGGGGCTTTCAGTACTCTGTAGCAGTGGCCTCACGGGATGTTACTGCGCGGCAAGCTGGTGTGCTGTAGATTTGCACCTGGGCTTGCTGCACAGTAACTTGCCATGTAGACAAGCCCTAGGATTATTAAGATGTATCATTATTGTTTCCTGATAAGAGTCATTTTCATTTGACAGCACCATATGTCTTTCTAGTACTTAGTATTACTTATCCTGTTCCTTCAGTCCCTATTATGCTGCTATTAAATACAAACAAACAAAAAAACCCAAACCCAATGGTCCCTGTAGTCAAACAGAAAAACAGATCACTAACTAGCAGACTTCTTGTCTGCTCACAGCCTGCAATCTGGCAAACTTGTGACAACTGGTCAGATTTCGTGAGTTAATACCACAACCAGTATCAACCACACCCAGGTGTGAAACACCAGGCAGCTAGTTACATTGGCAGGATGCTACCATGTATTATGGGTGCCAGCTGCATCAAACACCACAGGGGTCTCTCCTACACAGCTCACTCCATCCACATTAACAGTGAGAGGCATGCTTGGGCATGAAAGAATTTCAAAAGCAGAAGGTAAGAGAACATACCTGGCGATGCTGTGAGGGCCATCACCCCATAATAGGAAAAAGCACCAGCTTCAAACTTCATTCCCTCTTTCCCAGCCTCCACTTCCACTTTCCCCTGTTGAGGAAAATGAGAGAGCCATAATTAAAAGGGGCCTCAAGCATCCCAAAGATCCAGAGACCTTAGAACAGACTTGTACCCTGAAAGCCGCAGCCTTGCCCAAAGGGGCAATTTAGGGTTAATTCCTGCCTTCTGCTGAAGTCCGTAAAAATGCACAGACAAGGGTAGAACTTACACCTCAAATCAGTCCCAAAACTTTCCAGCCTCATATCTGCTCCAGCTAACTTAACTCAGCAAGGTGTGTGGGCTCACCACTGCAAAGAAATACGGTAGCTTCTCAATGGTACTACTTTTTTCCACTTCCAAAGAATGTTTGTGCACCACTAAGCCATTTACTTCGAACTGAAGGGAAGGAGTGGTCTCCAAGTCTGAGAAAGCCCATACTACATACGGTTTGTCCATCAAGACAGATCTACTCATTTCAGGTAACTGCCCAAATTCACACAAGGCCTTTCCAAATACAAACACAGGAAATCTCAACTGGGAATGGGAGTAAGCTCAACATATTTTGGGAGGGTGAAGTTAAGGTTGTATGCTTTCCCCCACAGAAAGAAATCCATAATTCCTGAAGGAGTCCTGAGTCCTCTTTCTCGAGGTTCTTTTGGGTTAGTTGGTTTCCAACGGTTTTACAAATTCCACATCCCTTACTATTTGATACTGACATTTATACAGGATCTTATCAAAGGATCCCAAAACACTTTACAAGCTATGCACAAGTACACCACCACAAAAATGCAGCCGCTTCTGGTGTGGAACACAGAAGTTATTTAACAGCACATAACCACTCTATACCCATGAGCCTAATACAGAAAAAGAACAGAAGTATCTATTCTAGAAATGTATTTTTAATGTTCAAAGTATAAAATTAGAAGCTTCAGTAACTACCTAGTGGGACCCTATTTTCAACTCCATTCCCAGTGCAGTGGCATCACTAGTGGATTTTGGGACAAGGGAAGAAGAAATCTGATTCCATATCAAGCTGAAACTATATTTTGTGGGAGGAAGGAAGGGTAAACAGAATTTAATTAATTATTTGCAGTGTTCTCAGTCTCTGCTGGGCTGGAGAGAAGGAACAGACTGGGTTCTCCCACATATAATGGATAAATATGCCATTGAATGGATAGCCAGGTCAAACTGAAGCTAAAATGTAGGTTTTGTAAAAACAAGCTTACACTAAACCTAAGACCAATATACATGTTTCCAAGTGTTTTTTTCCAGTTCAATTAAAAACCATTTAAAAATAATCAGCCTTGCCCATCAGTATTTTCAATCAAACTATGCAGCAGTGTGCTAGTGCAGTAAAGTGCAATCAAATTATCTAGTCTAATTGTCCAAGATGAGTAGTGCAAAAGGGAATCCAACAGCATAAACGGGTCAGAAGTGCATTTGATCTTTATAATTATTTCAAAAACATACTGTTCGTAATTTGTTAAAAATACAATGTTCAGCCTCGTAGACTCAATTGAGTAATTACTGGCAATTATTCATCACACAGTCATAGACTCCAACCCTGAAATTAGATGTATGCAGGTCGAATCCTCACTTGGGAGTCCCTTTGAAGTTAATGGTTGAAAAGTTTTGAGCTGGCAGTTAGCTGTAAAAATGGGCCCTCAATTCTGCGACCTAGTTATTTCATTAGTTACACACACCAAAAATGTCACCCTTGCCAAATCTGGGCCACACAACAAGAGTGCAGCATGCTGAGCAGCTTGATAGCTGAGAAGTGGGAGGGATAGCTCAGTGGTTTGAGCATTGGCCTGCTAAACCCAGGGTTGTGAGTTCAATCCTTGAGGGGGCCACTTAGGGATCTGGGGCAAAATCAGTACTTGGTCCTGCTAGTGAAGGCAGGGGGCTGGACTCGATGACCTTTCAAGGTCCCTTCCAGTCCTAGGAGATAGGATATCTCCACTAATTTAGAATCAGGCAGCAAAATTCCACAGGCATGATACTAGAAGTGTCCTGCCACACTTTACAGGTCTGTGTTGGCATTTTCCCCAAGGTTGTTTAATGACACAACGTGAATTTTTTGGGGGGGAAGTTACAAATTGCCACATACTGTATTGGTGTGGAAGAGATGAGCCTATCCAGTGGAAATAAATTACATTTCAGAAATCAGTAATTGACAATTTGAGGTTAAATTAAATTAATTTACAGAACTGTACATTTGCTTTCTTGTATTTTTCCTATGTGAAGAGTATTAATATACCTTGGAACATCCAGATCAGAGACTGACCATACTGCAAACCAAAGGGAATTACTTACTATCTGCTGATACTTGTTCTGGTAGAACCAAACCTTAGTACCACTTTTACAGCATGTGTCTTTTTATACACTCACTTTCAGATGTGACACCGGCATGTAGAAAAGTTTCTTCTAAAAATAGCATGTAAGTTTTTACTAATCATATGCTTGCTTATTACAAGATGGTTTGTTTGTCTTAATGTGTGCTCTTTATTATGCTCACGCAATACTGCATCCTACAGCACTTGATCTATTATCTTGCCTCCAGTGTATTTCAAACTGCAGTGATCCACTGCAGAGGTGTGGGAGTTTACAGAGCTACCAATTCCTCATGGAAAGCAATCCATATTAACAAAGCTCAACTGGATACACAGCACCACATTTTTGTTTCTCCTTTCGTTCTTTATTACTAAGATCATGGAAAAATAAAGACATCTTTATGTTTAATGCCACATTAGAGAGTCTACAACCCTGGTTTACAGCATAAGTTATATTACTATAATATTGTTTTGAAAGCTATTTTGTAAACACAACTGAACCCAGTCTACGCTGAGATTTGAGTTTCAATCTCAGTGTAGACAAGTATTCCTATGCTCCTGCTGCTTATTTCCTGAGGAGTAAAGCTCAGGAGATGAACGCTGAAGAAATTAATGAGAAAATATACTTCCTAATCTCAAAGACAAAAGAGCATTTCCTCATCCTTGGCCTGTAATCTCATTAGATCACACAAGTTAAGCAGGATCAGGCCAGGGTTACTGCTTGGCTGGAGAACCTCCAGGAAAACCCACAGTGCTGGAGATAGCGATGTTGGCAATTCAGTAGGTGGCGCTCTTCCCTAAATTAATACTAAACAATTGTGCCATGATACTAGAGGTGCAGACTTTCAAGCATAAAAAATGAGTTTTTGATCAGCTATCACACATCCCATGGCACTTTTTGCAAGAAAAAAAAAATGCATTAGCTAGAGTGTCCTGGCCAAATGTCAATTCAAGTCATTACATTTTGCCTACCAATGTTTTCCCGACTGTTTCAACTGGACACAAAATTCTTTGTTGCCTGCCCAAACAATACTGGCTGCACTTCTGTTGCAATTTTCAACAGATGATCCTTTTTGAGAAGTAGGGGCCTATTATCAGAGGTTAAAATTGAGGCTGTGAGCAGTTGAACAAGTTGCTCAAAGTTAGCAACCTAGCAAGGGAGTCAGGAAGAGAGCCCTGGTGTCCTGGCTCCATACCTTAAGAAGAAGACTAATATAACTATTTAAGTTTAGATATGGAAGGGAAGGAGTAAGGAGACAGATATCATGATACACATATATCTAGTCATGTGCCTAACCTGTAAAATGAGAATGAAGTAGTCGACAGGCTTGTTTCTCTGGTAGAGGTAGTATTCTGGGGCTTTCTTGTTCTTCTCATCGTATTTCAGCTCCTGGATGACATTAGGATGTTTTAGCAGCCTTAGGAGGATCTTCTCTGACATCTGGGATGGGCCAAATGCTTCTACTTCTATAAACACAAGACACAGCTTGGCATTATACCTCACATGCATGGGAATGAATTGGCATTAGTTGTTAAGAAACATGGAAACAGAAGCATATGTTATAGAATTGGAGTTTTCCTGTCTTTTGAGCCTCTTAGGGTACATCTACACAGGGATAAAAGACCCACGGCACGATCGCAGCTGACTCAAGTCAGCTGACTCGGGCATAGACTTCGGGGCTAAAAATTGCTGTGTAGATGGGCCACCCTCAGCCCGAGCCCAAACATCTACACAGCAATTTTTCAACCTGGAGCCAGAGCCCGAGTCAGCTGACCTGGGCCAGCCACAGGTTTTTTATCCCTGTGTATACATACCCTGTGGCAGATTTTCATGGAGAAACAAGAATACTCCAGTTCCCAGATATTACAAATGTATTTGCCCTCCTTGAGTTAATAACATACGTTTCAGATGACTGAGAATGATCTTCCCAACATGAAGGGAAAAGGAAAAGGAATTTGCCCATCTGAGAGCTCAGAAAGCCAGTTATTTGGGCTTGCTCATGGAATATGAAGGGAATGGGTTTACAATTGGGGTCCAAAGGACCTTTCAGTTTCGTTTTGAAATGATGTTATAGTGGATTCATTATTTATTGCATTTGTTTCTAAAGGTCTCTGATTGTTCATAGACCTAGAAAATTGCTATAGATAGGCCCACTGTGTAAACCCAAAGAAGAAATAAAGGAAAGGTGCCACAGCCCACATGGGGACAACGGCTCAAAGTGAGAGGCAGAGTGCAGGCAAATTCACACCAGTGGGATTAATGCATAGCACACAGAACACACCTTATAACCTCTTGCTCTTACTGTTCAACCTGCCCAAGGAGAGCTATTTGAAGTGGAAAAAACCCAGCTTTTTGTGGAGCGGATTTAGGCCAGGGACACTCAAGAAGTAGACATGCAAAATGCCAATACTTGCTAACGCTGGTTTCAGAACAGGACTTTGGAGACATTGGACTGTCTGCAGATCCTGGTCTGCATTTAGAACAGTCCAACCAAACTGTAATGTCTGACTTAGTTAGCAATGCTTTCACAGCCAGACTTCGATTTAAATTATAAAATCATTTTACATTTCCTAGACAAGCACAGAAACAGCACCCGCAAATTAAGTCAATAAAAATCTGTCAAGACGGTGTTTGGGAACTCCCATCGAACTTCGTGCACATAAATGAACGAAGTGTTATTTGTTATTAAAGCCGCGTTTTGCTGTTGAACTGTTTCCTTTCACTGGAAGTAGCAATGGTGAAAGGTGCTGATTGAAAGGCTTGTACATGGAAAGCCATTGCCTACACACCAAACAGGTACAGCGTGAGCAATAGCAGGTCAAGCTTCACACACGCTGCTGCTAATGGGTCTTATCTCTGATGCAGAGAGACCAACTCTATGATGAAAAGAAAATCCAGTCGCTGTTGCCTACGCAATCCATGGGCTCTCTGCAAAGACTGCCCAGAGGGGGACCAACCATCATGGTGATTTGGGAAGGCAGACACCTGCCCACTGAAAACTGGACTGAAGCCACCAACTCATGCCCCACAGGCCAACAAGAAATCCATTTTAAAAATACAATCCCACAACCTGTTCAATTTGCATTTAATTTGCAAAGAGAAGTTTTCATTTGGAGTCAAAGCCCCATGGAACAGGTTACACTTTCCCCCTGAAGTCCAGGATCTCTTCCCAGATGAGCCACCAAAGGGGAATTACAGTTAGCAGTCCAGTGAACTGGCCAGTTGGCACAGCGTCCTTATTAGTTTGTTCCCTGAACTCTCCCTAATGGGGTGTACTTGCTAGTCATTAACCTGGCGGACTCTACACATGCAGTGTGGCACTTGCATTCAACCTTACCTTTCAGACCAATTTAAAGTTACTGGTCCACCCCTGGTAAATGTCTCAGAGGGTTCATGCCGACACTGAACACAGGAGAGGAGAGAATTTAAAAAGAAAACACAAAATACACAAAAGTGGCATTATTTGTCACCCCGTTGTCCAGCCTCCCTCCCTGCCAGCACTGCCCACTGGCCTCGCCAGCCTCCACTGACAATCTAGCTCTCAGGCACTTGTGTGATTGCAAGCTGCGATAAGCCGTACTTGCCTGTTGCCAGGAAACGGTGCATTGCCAGGAGGAGCTGTGGTGATATTTTAACCTTCATCTCACTGTCTGTCTGTTTGAAGGCAGAGAAGTCCTGCTTCCTGTCCCGATGGGCTACTTTCTTTTTCGTCTTGTTATCAGCTGGGGAAGGGAGGGTGGGAAAAGGAAGGAAGCAAAGTCTGTTAGAACAGGATCCAATATGAACTGCACTGAATGTAGTTATCTGACGCCTTGTCTACACTACAGGGAAAAGTTGATCTAAGCTATGCAATTTGAGTTACGCAAATAGTATAATTCAAGGTCGACATAGCTTAGATCTACTTACCGCGGGGTCCACACTATGCGACGTCAACGGGAGACGCTTTCCCGTCGACTTCCCTTACTCTTCTCAATCTGGTGGAGTGCAGGAGTTGATGGGAGAGCGATCTGCGGTTGATTTAGTGGGTCTTCACCAGACCCACTAAATCGACCGCCGATGCATTGATCGCCGTGCATCTATCCCCAGGTAAGTGTAGACAAGCCCTAAGACAATCCAAACTGCAACAGACATGTAGAATAACAAACAGGACAGAGAGACCTCCCTACAATATACTCAAAGCCGATTATATGAATGATAAAACTTTAACTGTACTATAGAGCTCATCTTGCATTTGCTCCACAGGTGTGGTCTCAGGCAGCTGCCCAAAATCTCACTGATTTCAATGGGATGAAGTAGTCTTCCTGTGGAATTTGGACTGGAGGACAATGGCCTTGTTATACCTATTGGAAGGTCTTGTTCTCGACAGTTTTACTAATGATAAACAAACAAATCATTTCAGTATCTGCAGCAATCACTTTTGTTCTCCTATGCACATTATAGGAATACCTTGCAAATATTCAGGTTATTTAACCGCAGACTGAGCTATTTAATGTAACTGATAAGCATTAAAGAGCCACCATGGTATGCTACCCCCTGATGGTACAGATCATTATATCTATTTTCTACGTATTATAAAATATTTCACACGCACTATGTTAAAAGGTTGTGAAGTCAAGCACTCAAAAGTAAGTCTTAATTCTAGTATTTCCTATCTGTGCAACTTTCATTTGGCCTCCTTGTCCATATGCATTATGGTACAGTCTTCAGTTACACAATCACATCCATTCTCGGGCTTCTCATCTGGCAGTCTCCTCGGCCAGCCAGTTCTAGTTGTTCCCTTCTAAGCTCCTTATCTGATTTGTTTCTTCCCCTTACCCTGGCCTCCACTCTTAACCCCCTCTCACACTGCTGGGGTCCCAACTGCTCCCAGTCCCAATCTCCCTCTCCTGTCGCCTTAACCCACTTTTTGCCCAGCCAATGCCAGTTCTACCCCTATACCCCAGCTCCTCGCCAGATCTCCCTCTCCCCCCATCCCCACTGGTTCTCAGGCCCAGTCTCTGCCAACCTACTGGTTCCAAGAACCCACACCTCATTTCCTCCCAGCTCCTGTCCCCTTGCCCAGTCATTTCCTGTCCTTTCCCCACCGTGCTTCCAGAGCCACTCTCCCTTTCTCCCAACCCCCTGTGAGTCTCCAGTCTCAGGCTATGTCTACACTACCGCGGTAAGTCGACCTACGGTACGCAACTCCAGCTACGTGAATAACGTAGCTGGAGTCGACGTACCTTAGGTTGAGTTACCGCAGGGTCCACACCACGGAGGGTCAATGGAAGAAACTCTCCCGTCAACTTACTTTACTCTTCTCGTCGGGGGTAGAGTACAGGGGTCAACTGGAGAGCAATCTGCTGTCGATTTGATGGGTCTTCACTAGACCCACTAAATCGACCGCTGGTGGATCGATCTCAGAACCTCAATCCCGGCTGTAGTGTAGACCTGCTATCAGTTTCTTCTCCCACAGTGGCTCCTTTTTCCATTCTACATTCCTCCCCCGAGTCCACCTCTTGTTCCCTGAGCATTTGAAACCGATGTTTCCTTCTCAACACTGCATAGGCTCCTCCATGCTAGCAGGCCTCACTGAGAGCACAGCAGAGACAGACTCCCTGCTCTCAGTTCAGGTGCCCTGACCTGGTACAGTGGCAGCAGCCCAGAACTGCAAATGCCCCAGGCTGAAGCATGACCAAAGCAGATAGAATCTTTGGGAGTCTACTGAGAGTGTGGAGACTGCAATTTTTCAAAGGCTTACAACTTAGCCACATTTGGGCAGATTTTCCTGGGGATGGCAAAAAGCACATCCCTCACATGAAGCCCACCCCTACTGGCAAATTTCATGTCCTTGTCCCAAAGCATGGGGGCACTAGAGTGTTTCAAACAAGAAGCTGCTAGCAATTTTTAATATGGGCAAAATGAGTTTTTGCCTAGCCTTGTTCTTGGAAATTGCTAAGCCATCTTGATTGAAAAAATGAGCCTGATACAGAGACCCAGCAAGGAAAATTTCAGCCCAGTTATAAGTAATTGAAACCAGATGGACGATGGGAAGCGTCAGATAACCTTAATTGTAGGCAGGGCCATGAGTCTTGCCTACAAAACTACATACACAGAGTGATGTTTCCCATACAAGAAGCTTGACTAGAGTTCAGGTTGCACAAGGGTTCATTTCTACCCCTTTACCACATAAACTGTTGGGATTGAAGGATTTCAATCATTTCTACCCCTTTACAACATAATCACTAAACATTAAGGAAACTAGCAGTTAAGGCAACATTAACATCAAACCCCACAAAATTCATATTCTTTACCTCCTACTCACAGTTCATATACCATGCACAAACCACTTGTACTTTCCATCATTACATTGATTTGGAGTGAATACTTCAATACTTTATAATATAAATACAAAATATTGGTAGAATGGATTCTAGTGCTTCATAATGAACCAACAGGTCCCCTGGATGCTTTGTATTAATTTACAGCAAATGGTTTGGGATGGCCACAGCATCCAGGCGCCCAGGAGAGTTCTCTTCTATTTGTATTATACTGCATAAACTTTCAATAGTTAAACTTTCCAAGGAATAACAATTTCACATGGACTTATGTTCATCAGATCTATTTTATCAGCCTACAAAGACCATGAAATACAGGGCCTAATTTTCTGCCCCCTTTCATAGCATTAATAAACTCAACCCCTTTTTCTTTTCAGTATTAAATATAGAATAATCCAAATTATTTCTTTTAATAAAAAAGCAAAAGAGTTATACCAAAAAGCATACACAGTACCTCCCCCCTCTGGGAGCACCCCACTATCCTCAAAGAGGCAGGTACAATACACCAAAGGGAGGATGGTTTTGCAGGGTCAATGAAATCATAAGATCCTACTGTAAAGAATTAAGCCACAATCCTATTGAATGGACAATCGGAAGGGTTGACAGTAATAAAGAGTTCCATCACAGATGGTGTCAGAATTCTAGATGTATTATAACACCACTCTTAAATTGGTGCTTTTCATCAGTAAGTCTCAAAGCACTTTACAAAGGAGATCAGTACCATTATCCCCATTTTACAGGATGGAGAAACTGAGGCACAAAGCGGGGGGGGGGGGGGGGGGGAGGCGCATGACGTGCACAAGGCCACACATCAGGCGAGAGCCGGAAATAGAACCCAGGTCTCCTAAGTCCCAGTCCAGAGCTCTATCCACTAGGCCACACTGCCACCTTATAAAATACACTTAAGGTAAGAATATTATGTCTTTAAGGATTGTCATACAGGAACTTCTGGACACCTGAATACTGGTAAGATACTGACAAACTGAAAGTGGTTTAGAGAATAATATACTATTAGGAAACTGGAGAGATGGACTTAGGAAAGATTCACCTAATATTTACAGAAGGGGAAAGAAACAATCTGAATAGCATAGGGGTATTTCAAATGATTATGTGTATTGCAATCATGCTTATAGGCCCCAATGTGCTAAGCCCCACACAAACACACAGTAAGAGACAGTGCCTGCCCCTACCCAATGTAAAGAACAGTTAAGACAGGTAAAGGACGGGAGAAAAGAAGTACTGTATTTGTAACCCAGTTGTATAGGTTGGAAGTGGGCAGAGGGAGAGATTAGGTAACTGGCCCACAGTGAGATAGGAAGTCTGATGGAGCTGAGAAGGGACCCCAGATTTCGGGGGTCTCAGTCTAGGGCTCTAACCATGACACCTTCCCTTCCTCTCAAAATATATTAACATTAAGGAGGGAAAGGAATTGTATTAAGTGGTGCAAGGAGAAATAATTAGGGGCTGAGTAATCACAGTGCTCTTAAGGAAAGGAAGTCCCTCATCACTACTGTGTCCCTACCAATTCACTGGCAGTGACCAACTCTAAAGAGAAATCATCCAACTTTCCTCTACCAAAGAATGGGAGTGGTACTGAGAGCTCTCAAGGGTGACATGGATATTAATCAAGGAGAATCATGGAGATCTTGAGAGGCGCAATAAGGACACAGAATAGGATTGTTTGAGGTGGGGAAATGATAACTGAACAAAACTGAAGTTTTGCTCACATAAACTGTTGGGATTGAAGGATTCTACAAAAAAGTTGTCCTGCTTCAGCTAGAGAGTCATGCATAGAGGGGGCCATATTGCAGAAATGACAATGATGACAGCCAGCATGTGGACTTGTGTGGAAATTTGACCTTCTAGATCTTAAAGTAAAACAAAATTAGCTAGACCAAGAATAGAGGTTGGAAGAATTCTCTTTGATGTTTAAAGAAAAAGCACAAAATACTTCTACTCACTGTACAAATCAGTTTCATCTAGAATCTCAGACTTGATGATTTCTTCAATCACATCTTCTAACGTGACAATCCCCAGGACTTCATAAAAAGGATCTCCTTCCCCTTCATTGTTGACTCGCTGTACTATTGCCAGATGAGATTTGCCTGCAGGGAGACAGATTAACAATTATGACTTTAGACTCAGAGATTAGAAATGGAATTATGAGCAAAGGATAAAAATAGAGACTCATAAAAAACTGTTTCACACTTTCTAGAACAGAGCAACCATAGTCCAATAGATACTTAAAGGGATACTGTCAGCTAAAAGAAAAAATAAATCAGATTTCCATATGAAAATGCTGTTCCTGTTGCTATCACAAGTTGCATCTAAGATTACCAGAGCTGAACAGTTAGACATATTGAACATTCCTCCCAGTTTGTTTACCTGTGCATTTGTCAGCACTTGGTGTTAAGTCCATTTCAGTGTTTTGTTGATGGTCAGCTATACTTCCTGTCTTGTACACCAGCCCCAGGACATCACACCCCTGCACTGCTTTGCACAGAGCTCCCATACATGCATTTCCTCACACTCTGCAACATTAGCAACAAAGCTGAAATTGAAGTAGCAGCAGGCAGGCATGTGCAAAGGGCAGATGTGGGGGAAGGAGAGGTAGGTCCGATTGTGTTTGGTGGTGGTGGTCTGTCTCTGCCTTCTCCTCCGCCCACCACCAAACAAGAGATTGGCAGGCAAGTAGACAAGCCCATAACATTACAATTTTTTTTTAAAATGTAAGGCATACTATTTAAAGGGAGTTCTTTCAGAAAACAGAGTATTTTGAAATTAGTCCATAAAAAAAATTCAGGTTGCCATCAAAGTACGGTTAATTACAGTGAAGAGGATAAAGCTGAAATGTGACATGCTAGTGGCAATGAAGCTCCCGCCAATGTCATTTCTGGGCTTATTTCAGAGTGCACTAACAACTCTTAAAATCTTCTCTGCCACCTACTGTATCGTTTTGTTTCACAGAACATGATAATGCCATGGACTAAGAATGAAAGAAGCATATTTGGTAGTCAATTTCTATAGCCATCACTGAAACTCACTTAATTGCAAAGCTATGTAGAAAAGTGCCTCAGACTCTAGGATCAAAGAGTTTGCCAAGACACAACCAACCAACCAGACCAGAGCTAAATGCTGAAGCACAGGTATAGTGGTCTCAATGTACATAGTCTATTGTCAACTGGGCAATATTATGTTGCATCCCCTTTGTTGGTCTCTAGCCTGGCATCTAAGCCACCCACTCTGCGATCCATGGAACATAACCAAAATAGTCCAACTTTTGTTTCCTTTGCTTAGACCCCTTTATAGGCAATAATGTCTGGATGTATGAAGATGTGGATTATTAGACTAACAGGCATTCAAACTATTCCAACCCAGGCTCGCTCATGCTCAAAGAATGAAAATATCTTGAACAAATTAGACCAGGGAGGAAAACTTATCAACGACTGATATAAACATTGCATCAGGTCAAGTCAATTCACTTCGGTAAGATTTTCACATCTGCTTTCCCAGGGACCCAACATAAGCAGTTAAAAACAAATTCTTGGTGAATGCTGTCTGTCGAAAGTTAAATTCTTTTGCTATTCCCAGCTTGTAATCATTTAAAAGGAATTTTCCAAAGCAAGGTCTAATATTAGACTCAAAATGAAGTTTCCATTCCACTTAGGCGATATTCTCACCAAACTAACTACTGCATAATCTGATTGTCTTGGAGCTACTCGTTTAGATGCAGATGGACATACTTTAAATACCAGCTCCACAGCACCAGTGAGTCTTATCTTGAAGGGACCTTATTCAAGAGTGAGTTATTAGAATGATGATTTGCAATTTAAAAGATCAACATACTTAGTGAACTGAAAGTCTCACTGATCTCTCTTTACTAGCATTATTTTCTTTGTAGTCCCTGGTGAGATTTCCAGATCTCTCAACCTCTCTCGATTTCTCAGGAGACACCATTTAAAACTAGTGGGCTTTGTTCCCTGACTGAGATAACATTAGCGGATACAGTGCTGTCCAGGCAATAACTCTCTTGATGTTAGCCTGAAGATCTGGAGGTAACATCAAGGCAAGCTCCAGAAGTCAAGACATTTATTTTCAAACTAGAAGGCATCACTCTTTTCAATGAGCTGTTGATATCTATCATCTCCCAGGATGGAGAGAAATGAGCATGCAGTCATTTAGATGTTAATACAACAGAACAATAGTTCTAGAGCTTAATAAATAAAAGAAAGTATGCTTAGCTCTCTACAAGACAGAGGACAACGAGGTCCCTTTCCCAAACAATTCACAATCTTTTGAATTGTTTCAGCTCTAGATTATATAAACACAGCCTTTTACTCCATATCTATTGTCCTTTTCAGAATAAGGAAGAACTGCTTTATCTAATTTTACATTTCAAATAGAAAATAAGAATCATTTACTCAGTGTGGGGTCACGGAGTTAGAGACACATCGCCAAGCCATTTGCCACCACTAAACGTTTCAAAGTGTAGAACATTCTCTATGACAGAATCCACCTCATCTCGGTATCTGTGGCATCCTTGTTATTTTGGTGGAAGACGCTTAATGGGAGAAGGTGAGCTATTCCACCAACCAGCCTGATTTAGGCAACTTTCTTTAAGGTGAACTGTGAAGGATTTTTTTAAAGATGGGGTTGTGCCCTTTTTCACTTCTTTATGATGCAAAACGAAGGTTAGAGGGGTTTTTGGTTTTTTCCAGGTTTATTTTTTGGCTTGTTACCTCAGAAATATTAAGTATGTCAAGACTGCTCTTCTCTGGCTTTGCTGGAGGACTTTTTGGCAGGTCATGTTATTGAGAGAGTCAATCCTTTTGTTGAAGGGATGGGTTGTGGAGAGTAAATCTCTAGCAAATACACACTTTATCTAGAATGTTAGTCAGTCATTGAAGTAAAATAGATGTTAATAAAAATATACACCCTTCTCCCCACATTTTTTATAATTTTATTTTAAAAATAGTTTGACTAAAAGTCCCATCCTGTCTCATCTGGCCGACTTGCACTCTCGACTCCTGTGGTATCGTCATTTCACTGGGTTGCCTAGTCATCAGTCTTTCAGCCTAGACAGCAATTAGCAGGGGAAAAAAGGCTAACAGGGAAACCGTACGCCTTTCAGGCCTTCTTTATACATCATAAAGATGCATTATAAGGCACAGAACCAGGTTTTTCTTCCCTTGCAAGCCACCTTTAACAGACCCTCCAGATTTATTAAGCAGAACCAGGCTCCACCTTTATTAAAAGATTGCCTATATTAAGCAACCAATTTTTGGTCAAATCCTTTAGTGATAATGTAAAAACAGGTTTCACTGCATCTTGTGAAGCTAAAAATAAAATATATACACCCAACAAACAGCTGAATAGTGATGTGAATCACAGAAACCCCTAACCAAACAGACAATCCATAATGATTCATTAGCATTTTAAGTACAAAACGAAATTTAAAAAGAAACTTATAGCAAATATATATAGTGTTCTCTTACCTCACTCAGACACTTCAAATGTGCCTTTTGCCATGATATAGCAGCCCCGCATCTACTACTTCAATCTCTTTTGACCTGCCCACTTTAAGTGGCAGTCCAGTGAGCGGCTGATTCTGTCAATGCTGCTGAATTCCATAAAGACATAGACTGCTTAGGAGAGGTTTGATCTAAGCAGACTACTGGGAGACAGGAACTCCTGAATTCTAACCTCAGCTTTACAGACTCTCTCTGTCTCAGACAAGTAGTTTCACAGCTCTGCCTCAGTTTCTCCACTATAAAATGGCGGTAACAGTAACAACTCACAATCTTGCTCCAAGAGCTAACGTTTGTACTGAACTTTGAAGTTGAAATGTGTTAACTGATAATTAGGTCAAGAAGGAACGGGCTTAATCTGCAGCAAGGGAGATTTAGGTTAGATATTGGGAAACGCTTTCTAACTATAAGCGTAGTTAACTTTTGGAATAGGCTTCCAAGGGAGGCTGTGGAATCCCCAACACTGGAGGTTTTTAAGAACAAGATGGACAAACACTGGTCACAGACGGTTTAGGTTTGTTTGGTCCTGCCTCAGCGTAGTTGGACTGAACTTGATGACTTCACAAAGTTCCTTCCAGCCCTACATTTCTATGATTCTATTTATTCAAATTATCTCTAGGGGTGACAATAGCATCTAAGAGAGAATTTTGTTAAGAGCAAATCCAGTCTAATCCTATTGTTCAAGAATTTGCAATACTTTGCTCTCTAAGTAGCATACCAGCATGGTCAGGATTTTGCTCTCTGTCACAACTTTTGCCTTCAGTATAATAAAAAGTATTTTAAAATCCTGAAGGCCCCTAACTGAAATCTCAGTATGTCAGTGAATGTTCTAGACACAATCTTTGTTCAGTGGAATTAGATGGGAGTGGATTCCTTGAAGTCTTCAAAGGGAAGTATTCCAAAAAGAACGGAAGGGAGATCAGTGTTAGAAATTAGATTTGAAATACAGAACATACCTGGCAATTCCTGGCAATTCCATTTCTGATTTGGGATCTTCATATTTTACATTTGGGAATATAAATGTGTGTTCGGTTTTCAGTACACAAAGATGATATGTGAACAAAAGACTGATCTGGATTGACGTACTACACCCTTGTATGTGACCAAATGCAATAGCAGAATGCCTCCATTAGCCTCAGTGGCACCAGAATGTTCAACAGTACTATGCGGCAGCCGCTATTATACCACCATCACAAACAAAACAACTTTAAAACAAACAGATGTCAGGAAATAATTGAGCCACAAGGGAGAACACCCCCACTTCATTCTGGGGGCTTTTAACTGGGAAGGGATGGACTGAGTACGAGATGTCAAAGGATAAACTCGTGTTATGGGTGGATAACTGGAAACTTCTGTATCTCTGGAAGTGCAGGGTTTGCTAACTTTGCATCTAGAAAGGAGAGTGCTTTATGTAAGTTCCACAGAGCAGAAGATCTGGTTTGGCCATTTTATTAAAGCCTTTTAATTCCGTTTTATTAAAAAATAAGGGACAACGTAAGAATTGCCATACTGAGTCAGAACACCACTCCAACTAATCTAGACTGGCCAAGACAGTAGCCAACCACCAGGTATTTCAA